ATATGCGAAATTGTGACAATAGACATACACCACTACTTGCGTACGGAGGCGGAGCTAGTCTTTCGGGTACGGATTCGGCCGAACCCAGTAACTTTTGTATCGACTCTATATTTATTTTAAGAAATCGATTGAAAATGTACAAATTATTAATTTAAAACCTACTTATTTAAAATCCAAACTCATAAATGTCAAATCTTGGTTGCTTGCGGCCCGAGCAGTTTCCCACAAGCCACTACTGTTGTTAGGCTTATCCGCAGCCAACCAACTACAAGTACTTGAACAAACATGAAACTAGTGGGCTCCATTGATAAAACTTCATCAGTCCCTAAATCCTTCTAAATATTTTGGTCATTCTATGTGTCTATTAAAATAAGTCAGACAAAAATGCCAGGATCTTCATTGATGAGTTTCCTTACCTTTTCAAGCAAGCCATGAATGAGTCCCAGCCTTTCATTTGTTGTTGTGGGGACAGAGTAAAACCTAAGGCAATAAATTCTAAGTGTATTTAAGAAATAATATTTCAATTTATGTGAACCTATTTCCTTTTTGGTCCGTGCCAAAAAGAATGACCCCTTTCCTTATTTGGAAACAATTTACTTTTATGCAATGATTTATAGCCACACAAAATATATGTGCCTCATTTTACACCACAAGTTCAAAAGTCTTCTCTCTTTTCTTAAACTCCATGCTCAGTCAAATAAGTTCACATAAATTGAAACGGATGGAGTATTTATTTCTCATTGATAGTTCGTTAGATAGCTTCAACATGACTAGAACAAGACAAGTAGGTACGTATAATATGTTCAATATTTAAGTGTCTTCGTCCACTCCTGCGAACAACAATAAAAGGAAGACAAAATTACTCGAATCTTAATCAAGTAATAATTCAACAATGGAGAATTTCAATAGTCCGAGACAAAGTTTGTTAATGTTTTTGTTGTTCATTTTTATGTTTATTGTGAGTTTGAGAGGTGAAGAAGTCGTGGATGGAAGTAGCATTGCTCAAGCTCCAACAACGGCCAATAATACCTACAACATTACTCACGATGTTATCGACGAAAAGGACGGACGTGGAGGAGGAGGAGGCAGTGGAGGCGGTGGGCGGGGATGGGGAGGTGGCGGTGGAGGTGGAGGTGGAAGTGATGATAGCGGCCAGGGAGGAGGTGGTGGAGGCGGCGGTGGTGGCAGCNGGAAGATGCAAAGGAATGCGTTTGGATTGTCCTCTTCATTGTGGTGGTCCTTGTTTTTATGATTGCATCCATATGTGCAAAGCTCACTGTCGCCGCCGCCGCTAAGGCCCATTCAAATAGAGCTTTTTATCGTACGTTTTTCTTAAAGATATTCCTTCGATCAGACAGAGCTTCCTATTTTATGTTTTTCTTGTGTTTTTTCTACGATAGTATTATTCCTTCTTATGGTCTCTTTGGCCCTCTAGTTCTTATATCTTACTAGAGATTTAATTAGGTGAATTGTTAGCCTTTTTGGAATTCGGTTGTAATCTAGCAAGTAATATGGTTTACATGATTCTCCTCACCATATTTGAGCACTTAAAGATTTCTTTTGTTTTTGGTAGATTATTTTAGCCGCACTTGATGGCAAATGGTTTGCTTTGAAGCACTTTTTTTTTCTTTTCAAACAGGTTGACGTGAGTTCTTCCATTTAACGCAAATGAATAATGTTGACCTTTAAAATTCTGCATTTGAAGTCTACAATAGGTTTAATCAGTTTACTAGGACTAATACTTGTTGAGTTGTTGGTATTAAAGACATTTTCAAAAATTGCATGGGTTTTATGGGAGCTAAATATTCTTTTGACAGAATGGCCTAACGGCCCCATAAATTTTGGTTTTTCAAGCTAGCTATCAAACTTACCAATTTTTCATTTTAACACCTCTACTTCATAGAACACTTATTCATTGAAAGTGATAACAACACTTATTCATTGAAAGTGATCTTAATTGCTAAAATACTCTAGAGAAGATTTTCAGTGGTAATGCGGAGAGATATTGGAAAATCTGTTTTTACGGTTTTGAAAAATAGCTGAAGAACCATGTCCAGTAGGAGTTTCTTTGGTTTTGATAAAGCAATTAACCAAAGTTAAACATACATTCCAATGATCACTACAAGACTTTATAATTTTAGCTAATTAATAAAAGGAAATTATATTAAAATTTAATCAGGATAATTACAGAGAGGAATTGAACGTGTTTTTTCACAACATGATAACATAGACAAGATATGATCCATATATTAACTTGAGGAAAATTACAGCACTACAAGCGCCATAGATCTTCAATTGTATTAAAGACCAAGCTGGGGAGTTAAATAAACTAGATCTGATGCAATACTCATTTTTTCAATCAACATTTAGGAACTTTTCACAAATAATACGAAAAAAGAACCTACTTTATTCCAAATTTCTTGTAAAACTCTCGAACATCCATAACGAGCTAGGGCTTTGCCTGCTCCTCCACCCGTATAATAAGTTGCTTACCACTAAAGGTTGTGGTTGGTCGGATAAGATCTCTCCACTCTTTTTCGTAAGTCTCTAATTCAAGTCTTAAAGATGGAAAAACTCCTAGTAGGTTGGAGCTAGGGTTCCAAAAGGTTCATATATAAGGTCAATTTTTTTAATGTATATATATGTATTAAATGTTGAACCCCCTAGCTTCTTTACGTATTTACTTGTTTTATTTTTTGAATTTCTTAGGTAAAAATCTTGCTTCCGCCATATATTTTACATGGCGCAAAGTTGGATTAGTCGGAGCCCCAATACAAGTACCGATAATCGAGCGAGAAAAAAAAGGGTGATTTAAACTAAAAAGAAATTATTAATTGGGAACCTTGACGTAAGGTTTCTGATTCTCCTAGATGGGTGAGATTGCAAGAGAAGAGAGGAGGAAAACAAAGATTAACGTGCCACTTTACTTTCCGTATTACACTTTTGAGATACACTATAAGTTTTGTGTGTGTGTGATGTTTGGGTGTGTATATAATACATATTGTTTAAGTTTTATCCATTACAGATATAAAATTAGCTGCCTAATTAAGTCGCATAAGTGAATAGTTTGCAATTGTTTAATTGTCACGATTCGGATTTCCCACCCTCGGGAGTCGTGATGACGCTTACTAATGGGAGTTAGGCAAGCCAAACATTAACTACTTGCTGCACTTTCATTTTTGCCTCTTTTAACAAACACAAGCTAATAATATGATAAAAGTGGAATTTTAAATAAATAAGCGGAAGTCAACAATTATATATCTTAAGGCTACGTCTATTACAACTTTTAAAACTTCAAATACCCAAAACCTGGTGTCACCGTATCACAGACTATCTAAGAGTTACTACATACAAGGTCTGAAGAAATACAATACACTGTTTCTGAACAAAAGGAAATGAAACAGGAAATAGAGGTAGAGGGAGACGCCAGGGCCTGCGGACACCTGCAGGTCTACCTTGGGTCTCCGAGTGGACTGAAGGAAGCCCTCCAACTATTGTCCGAAAGCTGCTACTGGATCTGCACACAGTGCAGAGTGTAGCATTAGCACAACCGGTCCCATGTGTTGGTAAGTGTCTAGCCTAACCTCGGCAAAGTAGTGATGAGGCTAGGACCAGACTCCAAATAAACCTGTGCAGTTCAAATGTATATACAACGGAAAAGAAATGCGGAAAAATAACCAGTCAATGTGGGGGGAGGGGGGACATGTTGTGGGGTAGATAATAGTTCCGATTAGAAAGGCATCAAGTAAGAAAAGAAACAACATAACTAGAATTTCAACAAGGAAGCAGAAATCAACAATTGCACGGCATCACCTTTCGTACTTTTACTCTCAGCCTCACCAAAGAAGTTATATAATAAAATGTGCACGGCATCACCCTTTGTGCTTTTACTCTCGTCCTTACCAAAACAATCATATAATCAAAATATGCACGGCATTACCCTTCGTGCTTTTACTCTCTTTCGTCACCATATAATCAAAAGAATCGGCACGGAATGGTACGTCGTGCGGCACAACATCACCCTTCGTGCTTTACACTCTTTCCTCACAGTAACAAACAATGCACGACATCACCCTTCGTGCTTTAACACTCTTCCTCACCCAAACAACAATCACAAACAAAGGGGAAACGGAATAAACAAAATAATAATAGAAATCCCGGCAAGGGAACAACAGTTAAACAATTAAATCACGGCAAGGGAACAACAATTAAACAATTAAATCACGGCAAGGGAACAACAATTAAACAATTAAATCCCGGCAAGAGAACAACAACTAAACCACTAAATCCCCGCAAGGGAACAACAATTAAACAATTAAATCCCGGCAAGGGAACAATAATTAAATAATTAAATCCCGGCAAGGGAACAATAATTAAATAATTAAATCCCGGCAAGGGAACAACACTTAAATCAACAATAGCCCGGCAAGGGTGACAACATAATGATCTCTTCTCTTTTCTCAATTTTTACTTCACAATTCACTTCATAACTCGAGCCAATGCTCTAAGGTTCAATTGTCACTTATACTTTCACAAATTCGNAACGATATCAATAAATGCTAAATGAATCAATTCTAATGCATAAAAATAGGTTTTATAAAGATTTCCCCAAAAAGTCAATAATCGACCCCGGGCTCGCTTGGTCCAAACCCGAAATTCGGACCTAAACCGGATTACCCATTCTCCCGCGAGCTCAAATATGTAATTTATTTTTAAATCGGACCTCAAATCGAGGTCCAAATCCCCAATTTTTTGAAAAACCTAGGTTCTACCCAAAACACCCAATTTCCCCATGAAAATAATTGATTTGAAGTTGAAATCTTGTTAAAAGATGTTAATGATTGAAGAAAACTAGTTAAAAATGACTTACAATTGATTTGGAGAAGAAAGGTTGTTTCAAAAATCGCCTCTTATGTTTTAGGGTTTTGAAAAGTGAAAAATAACTGAAAATCTCGTCTATTTATACCCCACTCAGACCCTCTTCGCGGACCGCATAAAAAGGACTGCGGCCGCAGAGCTCCTCCGCGGACCGCATAAAACGGACTGCGGTCGCGGACTCTACTACGGACCGCAAGAAATCGAGCGCAGCCGCGGAGTCCCAACCGCGGCCACGAAGTTTCGACCGCGGACCGCGAGACTTGACTTCAGAGACCTATAACTTCTCTGAATCTGCAACTTTTTCCTAAGTTCAAAACTTGTCGAAACACATCCGAAACACACTCGAGCCCTCGGGGCTCCTAACCAAACACACGTACTAACTCAACAACATCATACAAACTTAACCGTGCGATCAAATCGCCAAAATAACCTCAATAACAATGAATCAAACCTCAAAATCAAGAACTTTTTCTCAACTTCATCAAGTATCAAATTTAGCAATTTAGGTCCGAATTACGTCAAACGACGCCCGTTTTCAACCAAACTTTACAAAAATGACTTAAATCATATATAAGACTTGTACTGGGCGCCGGAACCAAAATGCGGGCCCGATACCATCTCTTTCTAATCAAACTTCATTTCAAACTTCCTTAAAAAATTTCAGAAAACAATTTCCTTTAAAAAAAATTCATTTCTCGGGCTCGGGACCTCGGAAATGATACCGGGCATACGCCCAAGTCCCATATTTTCCTACGGATCCTCCGGGACCGTCAATTCACAGATCCGGGTCCGTTTACCCAAAATGTTGACCGAAGTCAAATTTATTCATTTTACCGTCAAAACTTATCATTTTTCACAAAATTTCATATTTAAGCTTTTCGGCTACGCGCCCGGATTGCGAACACAAGTCGAGATGACTCTAAATGAGGTTTTCAAAGCTTCAGAATACGGAAGTTTCGTTTTAAAACAAGTGATGACCTTTTGGGTTCATCACATTAATAAATATAAGTTTGTAGTCCGAAAAGAAGAAGTGAGAAATTTGTTGGAGAATTGATTAAATTACAATTAATATGTAAAAAAAATTTACTCGATAAACGTATAAAACTTACGCATATTCTTTTTCTTCAAAGAAATCTATTCTCACAAGTCTCATTTCATAATAATACAGTTATTTGACAAAATCTGATTCTAATACTCAATTATAATATATTAATTCTCTAATTATCACGCCAACAACAACAACAACTAACAACAAAAGAGGGCGGAGGTAGCGTACTATAATATTTTATTCTTTTAGTTTGGCCACGCCTACTTATTAGAAAGCTAGTTTTGTACAAGCACTGATTGGTTAGTAGGACAATACAGAACAATGAT